AGGTTATGAAATACCACACAACTGAACACTATATGAAAGATTTAGGACGGTTTCTGTGAATTCGAGCGACAAGTTTTCAGTCTAGAAGGCGATAGGTTCTGCGTGGTACCATCGTAATTTGTAACTGATGTTGTTAAGAGTCTATATACTTTCCATAAGTTGGTCTGGTCGAACAAGGGAGACTTCTCCCGCTCCAAAGAATGCAGACTGATTCAAATTATTTCAGAACACAACACCAGCAATGAAAAAAAGCTATCGAAAAAATATTAGGTATGTTCTTACAAGGAAAGATGGGTACAATTCCTTTTGGAATCTTTCCACGCATAACTTCACCAAAAATTTGATTTTTTTAGATTTTTATTTAGATATATTAGGTTGGGGACAAATAAATCCATTGCTTTTTCGTCGAAAAAGTCGATAAAATTGGAGAAATGATCGAAGTTGACCGGCTAAAAATCGACCATAAAACAGTTTTAAATCATTTTCACAAATTGGATTCATAAACAGAAAATATAGGATGGATCGAACTTCTATCTGCGAAGCCTTGGCCAAACGGAATGAGATAGACCCATTTCTTAAACGGATGGCGACTGGTGATCACATAGGACAATCCTGTGCGAAAACGATCGTGGTCAAAGAGCGGTGGAACCCCTCAAATGGTGACCAAACCAGAACTAACGGCCAGGAAGGTTCTGCTATGCATTTGGTGGGAATGGAAGGGGATTATTCATTATGAGTTGCTTCCATATGTCCAAATTCTGATCTCTACTGTCAACAACTGGAGCGTTTGAACATAGCAATTGACCAGAAACTGCCAGAATTGGCCAACAGGAGAGGTGTCGTATTCCATCAGGACAACGCTAGGCCATACACATCTATAGAGACTCGCCAGAGACTTCGGGCGCTAATTTGGCAAGTTTTAACGCATGCGCTATACAGTCCGGACTTGGCGCCAAGCGATTATCATATTTTTCTTGCATTGCAAAATTTCTTTAATGGTAAAAAATGGGTATATAGGGAGTATTGTGAAAATCGACTACTAGAGTTTTTTTTTTTCAAATAGAGAGCAGGACTTCTATGAGAGAGACATTATGAGGTTACCTTTAAAATGGCTACAAATCATACAAAAAACGATGCATATTTGGCCCAGATCGGACATTCCGAAGCATGTTAAATAAAGACCTGTATTTCATATAAAAATAATAGACTTCTTTTTCCCCAAACTAATATTTTTTTGCCTGGGCCAACATTGGGCCACAAGAGGTTAAATACCTTACATCAATCCCTGATGCCTTCCTACGTCCATGAATTTCATGAATTTGTCTAATTTGTTTTAACAATTCCATAGCTGATTATCGTTTTAACACTCTCCCCAAGTTAAGCATGCAATCATCTACTTGTAGCCCGTTCACATTAATTTGAAACATTTCCAGACAAACGACGTCGACTTGTTCAAATGCCACAATAAATTGCATCAAATGTTAGCTGCATCTCGTTGGTGTTGTTGTCGTTGCCTTAATGTTTCCATAATTAGTTCGCATCAATGCCTGAGGATTGTTTGTGTCTCAGTTCGTGGTGACTACTCACTACCTTTGGGCTGTGTGTCAGAACCTTTTCTTCTTTAGCTGTTATCATTGGTGTATCTCCTAGTTCACCTGACGCAGAGGTGGTGTATAGATGATGAGAATGCAGTTGAGTAGATATTTGGTCGATTCAAGCAGCAGAATACCAACCATCAAGTGGGTTTTAAGGTTAATTAGACTTTCTTTAGACAAATAAAGGCACGATAAAAGCAATTGTGGTAAACTTAGGATGAGTATATAATAATAATTATAAATAAATCTTTGAAACACCGGTTATTTATTGTGTGTATCATATTTTTCGGTAAATTAAAAAGTAAACATTAAAACAATTTAATCAAATTCTATACAGACAAAAACTGTAATGTAAAAGAAACGGTTCCCCACTAATCAATTCCAAAACGATTTTTAGCAATGATACACATACAAGCGTATGTATGTCTCCGACAAAAATTGTATGTAAACAAAACTACATTTTTTACAAAAAAAGTGTAATAAACTTTGTACAACGGAGAACAACTGTCAACGCCATCCATTTGGAGGAGCACCAATCTACGTACTCACAACACAAAACATCTGTGGTCACTTACAGTTTTCTGTGGCACAGCCAGGCAACAATCGGACAATGGCAGCAGGTCAATTCCAGAGACATAGTTAAAGAAACGAATTTACGCTTGAATGGAATTCGACTGGCCCCAGAGAAACGTTGCCATTCCAATCTTTTTAGCATTGATACTGGACTGAACAAATGGCTGACTGACTGTTTGTCAGTCTCGTTCGGTTCGCTGTTACAATAATCATTGTTGCAGATCTCATTTTGTTACGCTTAAATACATGAATTGCATTTTGCTCTACAACTGACACACTGGCAGCCAGCAGTGTGGACACATCGTTGATTCGTTGATTGGCCGGCAACAACGATAGCAGTGCCTCGGGCCAGAGTTACACAGCTACTTGAAGTTAATCGATAATGCAAAAGTATGCACTTTGGCCATGTTTTTGTTCGATTCGAGTGGATAGAAGTTCGAACAGATGAACAGTTAAGCGTGCTCGTGAACTGGCTTCTTTAGGCTTTAGCCATTGTTTTTGTCTTTTCCGTAATAAGATTCATTGAACTTCGGCTACTGTTTTGTTTTTCATGCAAAATTCAGTGTTTTGCTGTGGCTGATCAATTGATGTTTCCGTATCTGTAATCTCCTAAACATTACTATTGATGAATACAGATATAGATTATTAAGAAAAAATTTTGTTTCAAAAAAAAGTGTTTAAAAATTTTTGTAAACAAATGGAGGTACAAATTTGCAGTGAGTTCCAATTAAAGATATCACTAATGAATCATGAAATTGACTAGTAAAAATGTCGTTATGCTGGGCCGGGCCGAAATTTATGTACCCTCCATCCGGATAAAGACTTTTAAATACCAAAAATTTTAAAATTTGATTTCTGCACTGCTAAAATATTTGACCAAGAAACAAATCGTTTTATTTCTAGGTAGAAATCCCACAAGATTTGTGTATGTGTACATAGAACAATTTCAAAAGTAGACGAAAAATAACGACCTGTATTGTAAAAATGCACGGATATCGGTTAAAAAATAACTCAAACATACCGCCGTAGCAATAACAAGGAAACGGTTCGTGTTCTACATTTTCTAATTATCATTTGTATATACATGCGTCTACTAAAATGTCATTGTTTTTATGTATCGTCTACTATCTATCTACTTAACGTATTCTCATACCTCCTCCCATAATAGATATCAATGATCGGCTTATACAACGCATTCATGTCGTATGTGTTGATTTTCTTTGTTTTGCGGTTAAACTATAAAGAAAATACAAATTTCAGTGACACATAAAAAACCACACATGCACGAAGAAAGCTCGAAATATTTGATATGTGCCACAGGGTTGGAAACATAAACCATTACAAAAATGGAAATTACTTTCCTCACATTTTAAGCCATTCCACATGAAAGACTAATATGAGAACTCTTAATTAGGTTATGAAGAGGAAGTTTCAGGATTCAAATGTTCTCAGCCAAAAATATGATACACGAGAAGTACTAATGGTTTATTATTAAAATTAAATCCATTGGGTACAATGGATTTAATTTTAATAATAAAATTAGAAATAAAATATAAATTTAAAATCTATATAGACTACTGCTTAATAAATACACCCATAGCTATTTAATTATTATACATCTGTCTTTCCTTTTAAAACATTTTAAAATAAAATTATATATTTGTACGTTGTATGTACATAATATGAATGTACGTTCGTTCTATTTTCCATCGCAACATGTACTGAAAATATGACCCATTTGTGGTCTTCAACATTTGATATTCCAACTGCGAGACTTAATACGAATCGAGCAAGAAAAAAATAATATCAAGAGTACAATTGCAAATGTTTGCCACTTATTCAGATACTGTATAGAATTACAGATGATGCTGATGATATCGTTTTGCTAGTGATTCAAACAACCAGTCGTAATATTCCAAATTAAAACTGCGAATCACAAAATGGTGATGATGATGTCAATCTAAGAAAAAAATCTTAAATCATTTAAAGTTAATTTTACACGCTTCATTAAAGATGCTACAGGCAGACCAAATCACGTTGAATAACTATTTATTAATATAATATACATATGTAAATACACTGAAAGAAAAGTTCATCATCAAGGTAATGAAAAAAAATTATCAAAAAATCTTCATCAAATTGGTGTAGAAAAAACATTGTTTTTATGAAATCGGTGCTCAATTTGATGTTTTATGTTTTCGGCTGAAAAACACCGTCATCAAGTAAATGAAGAAACTTTCATCAATTTGTGGTCATCATGTCATAATCATCATAATGAAATTAGTTATCAAATTGAAGAAAGCTATCATTAAATGTTTTTAGTTTTAATTTTTCCACCCCCTGATGTTTGTGCGTTTATTTCGAAAACACGCACACACAAAAACATTGCTTTTGTAGTATACTTATTCAGGCATGGGAGTTATTACCTTTAAACAACATAATCTTGAATAAGAATTGGTTTTAAGATTTTTAATTTATTACATGTCTTTTATATCATCCTTTAGTTTATTAATTTTTCTGCCGTTTGCGGGGTTAAACTTCAATAACATTTTATTGCTGTATTAAAACTATTTTTGGTAGTTTTCAGAAAAACGAAAGAAACTCTAGCATAAAATGCAAAGTCACATCTCTGGCATGCCAATTGAGAAAATCCCGTTATGTCTGCAGCGTGCGAAACAGTGCTTGAATAATAAGAAAAAAGTGACATTTATTGTGATCAGACGTTGATAAAAGTGTTTGTAATATTTTTGTGCATTGGAGCTAATAGAAGTGTTGTAAGTTAAAATGGAGTGTTTTGTATGTTCTAAAAATTTTAGTAATATAGAAAAATATTTGTGGCATTTGCAAACATTTCATGGTTTCCAAAATAGTGATACATTCAGGTGTACGATATGTAACAGCGCATTCACAACTAAAAGTTCCTTTAAAAGGCATCTTACAAAAGTTCACAGAGAAATATTTGTGGAAAAACATTGCGGCTCCACGAAAAAATTACCAAGTCAAAGTGATTTTAGGAATTTGGAAAAAAATATACTACACAAAAAATATGTACCTAAAGAGGTATGCATCGAGAGCCACTGTGAAGAGACTTCTGATTCTGGAACATTCGATGAAGTACCAGTAATAGAAAATCTTTTTGAAAATAATTTAAAGTTTCAGACTGGTTTGTATTCCATAAATAACTTAAGTCGAAAGGACGCTGAAAATATTCAGACTTCTCAATACAATCTTGTAATTTTACCACTTCTAGACGTTTTCAAAAAATTTGCTGGCAAATTAGATTTGGATTCAAAGCAGGAATTATTTAAAACTATTCGTTGTTGCAATGAAGTTTTGAATTCAATAAAATCTGAGTACTTATTAACTAAAGAACTTAAAAAAAGAGATTTGTGTGAAGATTTAAACATTTCTGTCATTGACAAAAGCGGCGAGCTCATTCACAAAAAAGGCAATTTAACTTTCGCTGAAAAAGAGACCACAATGGCAACGCTTTCCCTAAGACATTCTTTCAAAAAAATTCTTCAAAAAGATAACTTATTGTTAAAAATGATTGATCATATGGAATCTTTAAACAAATCTTCGCAATTTACCAACATCGTGCAAGGAGATATGTGGAAAAAGAAGGCCGCTATGTATCCCAACCAACTTGTAATTCCTTACTTTCTATATTCCGACGATATAGAATTAAACAATCCTTTGGGTGCACATTCCACAACTCATACCGTAACAAACTTTTACTTCTCTTTTCCTGTTTTACCAAATGAAGATACCAAATTGGACCATATATTTTTAGCGGCATCAATTAAAAGTAGTGACTTGCAAGTACATGGAATCGACAAGTGTTTGTTACCACTTGTTAACCAGTTAATAGATCTAGAAGTGGCAGGCATTGAAATCGATTTAAACAACGGTAAAGTGTATAATCCTCACTTTTTGCCTTGTTTAATTATTGGTGATAATTTAGGTCTTAACACCATATTAGGCTACAGAAAATCATTTAGTGGTACATTTTGCCGATTATGCAGAATTGACAAAAATATGAGTAACGTAACAACGTCCGCTATTCCAAGTCTTAAGAGGACATATGCAAATTATAGGCTTGACGTAAATACCGGGGATCCATCTAAGACTGGCATCGTAAGCGAATGTGTATTTAACAAAATTCCGTCTTTCCATGTTGTTGACAACTTGAGCGTAGATGCAATGCACGACGTTTTCGAAGGAATTTGTCATTATGATTTGTCTTTTGCCATACTTTATTTCACAAATACCAAGAAATATTTCTCTTTGAAAACCCTTAATGCTCGAAAACAAAAGTTCGATTACGGGGAACTTGAAATAGGAAATATTTCGCCCAAAATTACTATAACTCATCTCAAAAATCGCCATTTAAAAATGTCAGCAAAGGAAATGATGACGTTTTTATTATATTTTCCATTAATTGTTGGTGATATGATTCCAGACGATGATGAGGTGTGGATATTTATTTTAACACTTATACAAATTGTAGAAAAAATTCTCAAATTTTCGGTTACGGAGTTTTCTATAAGTTCTTTAGAAAATCTAATTGAAAAACATAATAAAGATTTCATTAGGCTTTTTAAAACTAATTTGAAACCAAAATATCATTTGTTAGTTCACTATCCGGAAATAATAAGAAAATGCGGACCTGTGCGGAAGTTCTGGAGTTTCCAATTTGAGTCTAAACACCGCAGTTTTAAGTTGTACACACATGCTATAACTTCACGAAAAAACATATGTTTTTCATTAGAGAAAAAATATCAGTTCACTTTTTCAAACTTTTTGCTAAACTCGTCTACAAGCAATAATCTTGTTGTTTTACAAAAAGATTTAACCGTGTGTGAATTAAATGATGATATATGTGCTCAACTTAAAATACCTAAAAGACAGTTATATTTTTATAATAAGGTTATATTACAAAACATTGTATACAAAAAGGATCTTTTCGTTGCTGAATGCGAAATTGACTATAATATTTATAGAATTATAAATGTATTTTGTTTGGATAACCATATTTATATATTTGGTGAACGATTTAAAGACGTTGTTTATTGTAGCCATTATAGAGCTTTTGAGATACACGTCAACAAAGTAGAGGGAGCCTTTGCGGTCAATATCAAAAATCTTATTGGACATCCAACAACAGCCATAAAAACCCATACAGGAAAATATATGATAAGAATAAAAGAGTTATATTAATATATATAAAAATGGCAGCTATTGAACATCAATTAGAAATTCTACTCAAAAAATGGAACTTACTACATTTACTTTCCAACTTAAAAGGTAATATATAATATAACTTAAAATTAAAGCTTATTTATTTAATGTATTTTCCAGATGAAAATATAACGATTGATGTCTTACAAATAATTAACAGAAAACATTTAGAGGAACTCACACGAAGATTTAAATTAGGAGACAAAATAGTTTTTGAGTTTAATATTAATAAATGGAGAGAAGAAATCGGAAAACCTATTGAAAACGAATATTACTCAGACGTGGCCAATATTTCGTCTATCTCACGGAAATCTAGCTGTTCTTCTATTACTTTATCTCAAGAACCTCTGAAAGAACGCTTTGACTCCAATACCTGTGTAAAACTGACGACAATTTTGAACCAAAATAAAATTGGCAAAAGAATTTTAGAGACCTATAAAAAATACGAACATATAAATGAAGATCAACGAAATTTAATAATTACAACAATAGCTAGTTATTTTCATGCAAATGAGTTGCACATGTCTTTACAAGAAAGCTATAATTTGGAAAAACAAATAATAGAAATGTTTCCCAATGAGAAACTCCATTCTTACCGCACCGACAGACGTGGAAAGCTATATGTAAAATACAACAATATGAAAAGAAATCACATTTATCAGAAAGATAGAGATGTCAATTCACCTAAGGCATCCAAACCTGCAGATTATATCGGTAAATTATTCGAAAAAAACGTTATGATTTATACAAATGTAGTAAATTTGGGTTTTTATTATAGTTTCTGAAGAAAACGCCAAAGAAATAATTCATAGTTTAAAATACGATAATGTCGACCAAGAACAATTTTTAAAAATGTGGCAGTCATGCGCAAATTACCGAATACGTCAAATTTTTGATGAGCACGATAACCTTAAGGATATATTTAAAACCTGGCCACAGTATAAAGAGGGTCTTGGAGTAAAGTTGGTAAGTATCTTAATTTATATGTCCATCTTAATTTAATATTCTTTCTACATGTGTGTGTTGATATTCCGTTTAGATTAACATGGACTTCGGAGTGCTGCATAAAGACTACACACCAATATTCGAATGGGAAACTAAACTTATTACGGTGTATAATGTGATTAAGAAGGAAAAATACATTAAAGATGCTGGAATTAAATCAGTTTTCGATAGAATTGATCCATCAGACGCAGGTTTGTTACGAATCAATTTTCATTAGATGCATATCATTAAATAACTAATATTTTTATTTAATTTTGTAGCTTCAAACATGTCTTTATTTATGATGCGCTTGACTTGGTGTCTACACGGCTACTTATATCCAACATCAAAATACCTCCGTAAAGATAAAGATGGAAAGAAAACGTATGGGAAATACACCATAAAAGACTCCCAAGAATCGTCAATATTCCTCGCACGAAGTATCCAAGAAGTAGACAACCACTTAAATTTCTTAGAAAAGAGAAATGAGAATATTCAACCTTTTATTTTTGTTGTTGGAGATGACAATTTAGAAGATAATGACTACAATTTCTATGTTTATTTAGACCATGCATTGCTACATTTTGTAGATTTCCAGCGAGCACTAGATACTTGCTTCAAAAGCTTTTTCTTATTTAATTTAGAATTTCCCGGAGCATCCAATCAGTTCTGGATCTTTGTTCAAGAGTACTTCTATGACATGAAATCAGCTCACACAAAAAATTTTTCAAAAATACTAAATATTTTAAGCGATTTAAATTATACCGAGAACTGATTTATATATAAATTATCTACATTTAATATTTAATTTTGTATTTGAATATAATTCAAACGCTTATGTACATTTTTAAATTTTATCACATTTATTTATTAATTCATTATTCTAAGGAAATATTGAAATCTATATTCATTGTAAAACCCGTAATGAATTATTTTTTAAGTTTTTTAATAAAAAATATTTCCTAAATGCCTAAAATATTTGTATTTATATTGAATTTTGTAAAATTTAGAACGGCGTTTCTAGAGCGGAAAACAAAATTCAGTTCGATGTTAGGGCTTCATTGATTAAATGTAAATTATACATTAGTTTGATGCAGTTTATTCATTGAAGTTATGTAATTTTAATGAATAAATTACGTAAGTTTGATGAATACCTTTTATTGGAATGATGCAGAATATTCATTATATAGAGATAATAGAACATCAATTTGAGTATATTTTTTCATCGAAAGGAAGAAATAATACATCAATTAAATGAACTTTTTCTTCAATATGATGACATTATTTCATTAAATTGATAAATATTTTTGATGAAAATTTGATGTAAAATTCTTCATTATAATGATGAAACGCGTTGTAAGCTCAAAATCGAAGAAACATTTCATCAAAGTAATGCCCAAAATCATCATATTGATGAATTTTTTTCTTTCAGTGTAGTAAGTTATCCTGCATAGCCGTATTAATTTTGCAGTAAGACCAAACGTGAACATGGCTTAAAACACTTCTGAACGGATCGGGCTGTCGAATGCGGCCTTATAGTCGAGTACTATATATAATATTGGGTTCTGTTATGGTAACTACCCTTTCCATCCAGATGTCTGTTTCTATTGATTTGTTTTTTCCAGTAAATGTGAAATCTAGCAAGTTATTTAAGAAGAAATCCTGGACAAAGTACTTTCAAGAAGAGACAACGTGACAATTGTTTAAGCACTACTGGATGAACGGAGTCGCATGCCCCAGTACTGCTTACAGCACTGTGGTGTAACATCTACAATTATCCGTATATATCGAACCAATTCCCTAAGGAAAATATATCAACGCTTATGCTAACTCAAAAATTATTATTTATTAATATAGCATAGGATTTCGAACAAATCGAGATATTGTGTCGATTAAATTTTATGCAGAAAATTAAGATTTTTAGCACTTTATAAGATGGAGAAAATGCACATTATCATATAGAAATGCACATTAAAATCTATAGTCTAAACGCGCTTCAGGGGAGAATTTTTCTTATTTGCTGAAATTTTTTTTAATTTCCATACTATATTCGCGTTTTTTGTTTACTATATAACCCTCACACCACCTTCTTTAACATCCGATCACGCTTCTATCTATACTAATAAAAGAGTAAAGTGTGTGACTGACTGACTGATTTAAAGATTCATCAAAGCCCAGACGAAACGGCTGAAGCTAGAATCTTGAAATTTTGGGTGAGGGTCACACTTGGTCCAAAGGTGACAGATAAGGCAGGGGTTTTGGAAATACGTACTAGAACGGTACGAAAAGTACTAATCTATACTAATAAAAGAGTAACGATTACTGATTTAACGATTCATCAACGCCCACACGAAACGGCTGAAGCTAGAATCTTGAAATTATGGGTGAGGGTCACTCTTTGTCCCAAGGTGACAGATAAGGCTGGGTTTTTGGAAATTCGTACTAGAACGGTACGAAAAGTACTAAAAAGTACTAATCTATACTAATAAAAGAGTAACGATTACTGATTTAACGATTCATCAACGCCCAGACGAAACGGCTGAAGCTAGAATCTTGAAATTTTGGGTGAGGGTCACTCTTGGTCCAAATGGGATAGATAAGGCTGGGTTTTTGGAAATTCGTACTAGAACGGTACGAAAAGTACTAAAAAGTACTACATGTGATACCATTTGTATTTGTCGAACCGGTGGAGCTAGAACTCTGAAATTTGGGTTGGTGGTCGTTGATTGAGTGTAGGATAGATGTACTAAAGGGTTTTTTGGAAATTCGAACTATAACTATCCGAAAAGTACTAAATATGGTACATTTTCATAGCATGTGAATGGAGTGAGCTAAAAGCTTCAAATTTGGAATGTAAATTAACGTTGAGAAGTAGGGTCGATATGAGGAGAGTTTGGAAAGCGTGTACTCATGTGTACGAAAAGTACTATATGGTACTATATTTGGTACAAATTTGATTTGGAGGCACAAATCGAGCTGGAATCCTGAAAATTGAAATTAACATTACCGTCGGAGTGTAGGATTGGGATATGTACGTAGTTTAGGAAATTTTTACTTATGTATACAAAAAGTACTAAATCGTACTATAATTGGTACAATTTTGATTTGGGTGAACCCAAATTGAAATTGGTACTAATGTGTACTAAATTTGGTACAATTTGAATTGTGGGTGAACCGATAAAGTTGGAATCCTGAAACTTGGATTTAGGATGACTGTGCGGGTGTAGGATTGAGGTATGTAGGAAGTTTTGGACATTGATACAACTATGTACTCACTTTGCTACAATTTAAATTGTGGGTGAATCAATAGAGTTGGAATCCTGAAACTTGGATTTAGGATCACTGTGGGAGTGTATGTTTGGGTTAAGTAGGAAGTTTTGAAAATTCGTACTACTGTGTACTAAATATGATACTATTTGGAATATAATTAAGATTTTATCTAATTCATGATTTCAATTGGATTGCATGATGTTGGTAGTAATGGAAATTTTTACTTATGTGTTCTAAGTGGTGAACCGATAGAATCCTGAAATTTGGAATTAAGATTGGGGTATGTGGGAAGTGTTGGAAATTCGTACTGATGATTGTTAAAGTAGGTAGTTATGGAAATTTATATTAATGTTCACTAGCTGATACTCAATTTGGATTTGGGTGAAGCTATATTAGATTTTTTCAAAATAAGTATTGCAAGAGTACAAATGGTAAAAACACCAAATATAGTATAGAGGTAGATTTCTGTTGCGGTCGGAATGGGTGTGTAGGTTTGAGATATAGAGGTAGATTTGAGAACATACTATGGCAGAACATACGTACTAAATGGTTCTAAAATTTTAATAGTGGTCGATATAGGGTTTTAAATTCGCTAACGAAGTAGCGGGCATATACTAGTACATATATATAATTCTTAGAAACACGTTATTAAAAAGTGGTTTCATTCATTAAATTTTACATAAATTCCTCTTTGTAATATTACATTTGATCGATACAGCAGCTACAAAATAATTTAAATGGAATCGTTGTCAAAAATTCCATTAACTTTTGGCGTCAATATACCGGCGCCATACTTCATGTCTTACAGTTTTGACGCTGCCTAAGGCTTTTCATTGTGCAAATTAGCATAAACTTGTTATGATGATAAGATCCCCAATTTCCAGCTCCAATCCAATTTAAATAACCATTCGATCTCATTTATTACAACTTGGAAATATTTATCGCTGAATTATTCAAACCAGACATTGTTTGACGATAAATCTTGTTACACATTAGAATTTATGTAAAATACAAATAAAAAATTACCCAAAAAACAAGATAACATTAATAACAATAACAAAAAAAAAAAACAAAAAGGAAGTTAAATCAAGCAAAATTCCAAACAAATAAACGAACACATGACGTAGATACTGTTATATTTTGTTCAGACATAAGACATATTTTATTTTTATTACAATTCCACGAAATGTTTTTAATCCATCAAAATACCTTCTTCGTTTCTGTTTTATTATAACAAGATTTGTTGTTTTGCTGTTATGTATTTTTTTTTATCGAAAATAAAAGTCTTTGTCAATTCTGCTACCTTATTCCGATCGGTGTGATATCGCTTAAATATTCCAATTAATTTGTTTGACGCCAACGAGTCGATAAACTAATAAAAGTGGAGATTTTGTTTTCAATTTGTTATCATTAAATTAAATCAGTCGATATGGAAGGAATTAATTTGTTTGTACACTTTGTTTCTCGAAATGATCATGGTCTACAGTCTAGACATTCGACTAATGTCTGAAGGTGTGGTATTTTGTCTATATCCATTTATTACAAATTGGCAATAAATCAAGAAGATATTATTGTGGTGCAATAAGGTGTATAAAGAATATATCCGGTGTTATCACACTTAAAAGCATTCTTCTTTACCTATGAATAACAGTGCTTGGGCGCCATTTGTGTTTATTTAACACTTTCAGACGTTAATAATTTCATTTCGTTCCAGATTCCCGAATATACTTTCTTAGCTGGATTGTGACAGAACATTTGTTTCATAAGCCGAGGCGCGTTGGTCTTGCCCGAGTTTTTCCAATATGAAAATGTTCTCTTCCACTTGATCTTTCCATCTAATTCGTGGCCTTCCCCTTCTGCGTGAGCCATCAGTTGGCTCATCATCCATTCTCACAAGCCAAGCCGTTGGACTATGTCAATGTCCGAGAATAGATGGTATAGCTCATGGTTCATTCCACGGCGATATTCACCATGGACGCAGATCGGCCCATAGATCTTCCGGAGAATTTTTTTCTCAAACCTTCCGAGAACTGCCTCATCTGCTCGCGTAAGTACATATGCTACAGATCCATACAACAGCACGGGTAATATCAGCGTCGTGTAGAGTCTGAGTTTGGTTTGGCGAGAGGTGGCTTTGCTTTTGATTTGCTTACTCAGACCATAGTGGCATGTGTTGGCCAACACTATTCTCCTCTGGATTTCAAAGCTGATGTTATTAGTCTTGTTTATGGCGGTACCGAGGTATATAAAATGGTTCACTACCTCGAAGTTGTAGTTTTCAAGTTCCACAGTTGGACCGAGTCTGCTGGACGTCTTGCGCGTTGATAGCATCAGCTTGGTCGTTTCGCCATTTACTGGATGTTACCGCTCACAATGGTTGACCCATTATGTCGATGTCATCGGCATAAGCGAGTAACATGTGTGGTTTGGTATACATAGTGTAATTTTTTGTTCACATTTGCATCTCGTATGACGTTTTCCAGCAGGATGTTAAAAAGATCACACGACAAACTGTCACCTTGTCTGAATTCTCGTTCTGTTTTAAAGGGCTCCGAGAGGTTCTTTCCCACTTTAACTGCAGAATTTGTGCCAGTTAATTTTATCCTGCATAGCCGTATTAATTTTGCAGGAATGCCGAACGCAGACA